TACATTCCGAATTCTGGCACTTTTTTGTCAACAGAACTAGATAATTACTTTATGATTTCACCTGAGTAATCCGACATAATTACACTGGTGTACCGTATAATTAGCCGCTGGCCAGGTAACGTGAATGTCCCGTTTGGTCACAAGATTGGTCTACTTAGAGAGTAGTTAATTACATGTACGAGTTTGAAAGTGTTTATGTAAGCAATTATAAACGAACAGTTTTTGAATTAAAAATTAGGCAATCATTTCTCTGTTGTTATATATATGTCCCTGTTGTTATCAATTTTATTCTCGCACTGAACTTGAAAATAGCATCCACGCGACAGAAAATAAAAAGAGTACATGATGTTTAGATCGCCTTTACCTTACAGAATAAATAAGATTTTCAGCTTGAAATTAAAATCAAATATGCATTCACGGTCCTTCGTAAAACCATGTTATGAAAAAAAAATGAGTACGGCGAACTACTGTGTAACACAATTTGAAAGGCAGCATCTTGCCGTATAGAAAACGCTTCATTTCCGGATTAATATACACTGAATCAAGCGAGGCTGTGTACATAAAAGATTCGCCGAAAGCAAAAAATACCGTCTTCAGTTGCCCATTAAATTTAAAATATTACGTCTGTTTGATTAAAATTCAATCGCAATCACAGTTTTAGAGTTACGTCCCGTTTGTATGAAAAGTCGCGTGACGGTATTAATAGCACAGTCTATGTTGAGAAATAAACAATGGTAAAAATCTGTAGAAAAAAATACCACTGTGTAGAGAAGGTAGACGGAATATTTACTTTAATATCGACTGTCACTAAGTAAAAATTAAATTGCAACATCTCGAAGCGATCGGCAGTTCCATGTTTTGGCCATTAAAAAAAAAAGAAAAACATCGTATATTACTATAAAGTACAGAGTTTACTAATGCTATATCACAAACGCTGTTTCTCAAAGAAATGCTAATCAGATCTATTTTATACAGCAAAGAAACACACAATTATGCAAACACTTTGACAATTAAATATAAGTGTATTCTTAACCTAACGAAATTTTTTTTTTGTATGAAGTCGTCTGACACATATGATAATGCTCAGAAATATTCAACACTGGGTAATCCGACACACTGCCTAATCCGACATTGATTTTATTTCCCGCAGCATGTCGGATAAGACAGGTTTCACTGTATATATATTTCTACAAGTAAATGCAACAATTAATTATCGTTCTTGTGTTACTAAGCACGAAGAAGAACGACCAAGTATAAAAATTTAATCAGGTTAAAATTTGGAAGGGGATAGATTTCACTTTATATTTTAATTTAAAATTTTACTTATATGTAATTAAACTGTGTCCGTTACTACATGGTAAATAAGTTTCACATTTGTGCTAAATTTTAAAACCACTGGATTCTACTGACAGCAAAGAAAGACTTGGAAAACGCAAAAAAATGACTTGCTTAAAAACAATTAGATCCCCGAAACTGCTCTAAACAAGTTCTGAAAATGAGTTATCGTTCTTAACATCGAACCCTAGCGGCAGTTGAAAGGCCTACACAATAGATCAATCAGTTAACATTACACAGGAACAATAGATTCTACCTTCTAATGCTCTGTCTAGGATTTTTACTGCAATCTGCATCAGGGGCCAACACTTGTCACAAATATCTGCTCCTCTAAACAAAGAAAAAAGGAATAGGGATTAAAATTTATCCCCTACCATTTAATATATTTTAAAAATAATTATCAAAATCAGAGACTGCTGATGAAATTTTAAATGTGGTGCACGATAACTGAATGTATCATAACATTATGTTAAATAAAGGTTTCAGTTAAATATCCTGCAAATAGTTCAAAATAAAGTCTAAGATATAAAGAATATTGTACATGAGGGCGAGTTTCTTGCGTTTAAAATGTCTAGGTATAAATACCTCCATTTACTGATTTTTCAAAAATATGTCATGTTTTGGGCTCAACATCAAACTTGCAAAAACATGTTCATGTACTCTCAAGTAACAAACAATTATTCTAAATAAAGGTATCACAGAAAAGCATTTTCTGTAAATATTAATTCACAAATAAATACATGTAATACTAATATTTCTGAAAACTACTAACGAACAACATGTCCGCACATCATCATAATCTGTCATGTCTATGTCAAATACGAGTTCCTTCTCTTGGGCCTGAAATGCTGCAGCTTTCACAGTTTTGTGTTCTTTAGGCTGTAAATGGAAAGTTGTACCATAGATTTTATATTGTGAAGTAAAGTAAGTTCACAGGCAATATTGGCAAATCTAAACACATTCAAAATGGTGGCAATTTAATGCCTACAAATATATTTAAAGGCAATATTGTGATTTTTCTTTTCGTACGTAGCCTATCCATTGTAATGGAGACAGGAGCCAATGACTCATATATTAGTTAAACCTCCAGGTTTTACAAAACTACTTATAAATACCTTATGTGAAAACACTGCACCAATGTCAATTTTATATGGACATCTCTTCTGAATTTCTTTCTCCATTTCTTGCTGGTCAGTAAAGGACTGATATCTTATATATACATCATCTTTTAGGGTGAAAGAAAACTCTCGATTGGTGAAGTAGGATTTGGGGACTGAAAATAGTAATGTCATAGGATAGTCACTTGAAAACTAGAAATATATCCATAGGACATTACTGCCCTGCCCATGATACATGCACATTTGTAATGCAACATAAAAAGCCATGTACCTTGCTTCTTTGGTCTGACTTTAAGTAAAATATGATGACAGATGAATTAATTTTCATATACATGTAAATTTATTTTTTGTTCTCACAAACCTGTATCAGTGTATGATCATGAACAGTTTCTTTAAAACTGAAGATTATTGCAGTTTCTTTAACAGTCAGGGGCATGATGGAAACAAGTTATTTTTGAAATAATTTGTTGAAGTTGAGTTATCTTGGGTTATCTTTCCCTGCATATATTTGTTTTTCTTCAATAACTTATTCAGGTTTTCAATACTATACTAGTCATTATTTTAAATTTAATGATATCTGAAAAGCTTTATTCATGCTATGCTTGGAGTATTTAGTAAACAGAAAAGAGTCATTGCAGTAAAAGTAATCTATCTCTAAAATTTTACAAGCTGATATTCAGCAAATCATAACTTATTTCAGCTGTTTTATCCTTAACCCACCTCACTTTAGAACTCTTGTACAAAAATCTAAAGCTTTGCACAAAAAATGTAAGACATAGAAATTGTATAGTAATATTAAAGGATTTTAGGAGAATTATTTAAAGTATTGGCAAAATTAGCAAAAGTTGTGCAATTGACCTGCTTCCAAAAAAAAAAAAAAACTGCCTGCCCCGTTAAATTTTAAAATTTTTGGCCAGAGAAACTGATGATTAATTTTTTTTGGCCTTATTTAACTATGCTGTTTTTGTGTTCAGGCTTAATAGCGCATGATGTTTTTGAAAACTGAAGAAATAATCTACAACTTTAATCCTTTCACACACTGTGTTAGAGAATTTCTCATTTCAGAACAAAGACAAACAAATTAAATGAAAATTATGAAGGGTAAAATATCCAGTACGTATTGTGATACAATCCAGAGCTGTCCAAAGCTGTCGGTCCTGTCGGCAAGGCTGGTAAAAAATTGTCTGGACAGAAAACTTTCAACAAAACATCGGTCCAAATGACTGTTTGAAAAAATCAGGCGTAGTTTTCCAAAATCGGGATTAGGGTAAACAGTTAAGGGTCACAAAAACAAGAGATTGCCGTGAGATGATGGTGGTGATTGTTAAAGCACAGGCATAAATCATGTTATTTATGTCTCTGAATAAAGGCTCTCTCTCCATAAGCCAAGGAAATAAAATTATGAGATGGAATGCTGTTGAAAAAAATAAAAAGCATTTTGGTACAGTTATTTATTTTCCTTTCTTGCTTTCTTGCAACGTACATGTATCTGGTCTGACAAAACTTTGTCTAGTCTGACAGAACTTTTAACTACCATATAGGCTGAATTTTTAGTAAGGATTCAATTTTGGCATTATTAACGAGGTTTTTTGAGATCGCTAAAATTGAATATCGCTAACAATTAATTCTGTATAGGTTGTTATAGCTATCTTTCTTGACAATGTAAAATCACTAAAATTACTTCTCGCTAAAAATATATACGGTACCAATTTCTGGGGATAAATCGCTAAATTTGTGTCTCACTAAAAATTCTATTTGTACAGTATACGTCAGACCAAATGTCTGTCGGTTAGATTTAAAAATTTCAACATCTCTGCAATCTCTGTGTATCATATACCATGATACACTTTACCTTATCGTTACACCCCCACAAATGACACATGGACAAAATTATCCTGAAGGGCTGGTGTAAACATTTTGCTTGCATTGTTGGCATTTGATACCCTGATATTCATAAATTACTTTCCTCACTGACACAGTCAAGAATGAAAATCGTGATTAGCTCCATCTTTTGCTGTGAGGAGTTTGACACCCCCTAAAAAATAATTACAAAAAAATAGAAAGAAGTTTCCAAGCTACACTTTCAGACTGGGTAACTATGTATAATTCCTTGAAGGGTTGGCTCCTAACATTTCATATTGAATGTAATAGGTTCTCTCTGTAAATAAATCAAGTTCTCTCAGGTCCGACAGCAATTAAGGTCCTTAATTCATATATTCAATTCAAACAAAAATTTCATTTTTTATAAGAGTCAGTAAAAAGTTCAGGAAATAACTTTAAAATATGTTTAAATATAAATAAAATATAAATAAATTCTACTCCACAACATTCAAACACAAGGCTATAAATAGATCCAACGGAGCAAAAACACTGCATGTTTGTATTGTATTTTACTTAAAAATATGTTTACCTCCTCCATAGTTTAACCATCGATAATATAAACCATATGGAAACAACTTTTTGTAGTACATAGGAAGTAAATCAGGTAGAAAAGCTGCATCGTATTTGGAAATATCTGTCATTATGTTGTCGAAATTTGGCGCCAAATTGAGAAGTACTGAAGCTCATTTTCGGGTATCGTAAAAAGGAAAAGATTTAAAAAAAAAAAAATAGAGCCTATGAATATAATTAATGTAATAATTAATGTGATTTATAAACACTATGTAATCGATATGAATTTGAGTCATTTCATTTGTAATGTTAATTTTGCAGAAGCACGACAACCAAAAAAAAAACGTCCGTTAGGGAACCCAGGATAGTGTAAACATGGAAAAACAGACGAAATGTAACACCTAGGTTTCTATCATTACTGATGTTTTAATTTGTATAATTAAGAATATTGTACCCTTGTTGTGTAAAAGTCAAAGCAGGTTAGGCTTTCAAGTAATTCATTTCAAGTATTTCAAGTAATATTTATATTTTTTCATTATAACTTATATTTTATACTTGGTAATGGTGTTTTGATTTATGCACTTGGTAGACTATATGGTCTTCAACCAACATACATCATCATTTTTCTTTGATGGGGAAGGTTTTTTTAATGATGCAATTGTTTTCATTTATTTAAATTAAATATATAAATAGTAATTGTAAATAATAATTATTAAAAGAACCCTATCTCTCAATAGTTAACCTTTTGTGTTGAACTAATAAAATCCTTGCAAATGGACAATTATTGAGAAATTATAATAATAATAAAAAGATTTAAAGGATTAACCAATCCATAGCATATAAATTCAGTTATAAAGTGCACATTCCCCTCTGGTCCTGCTATTTTTAATAATTAAAAAAAATAATAAGTGCAACTTCGAACTTGAGACGGCTGCGACTGACCTATGTCGATAAAAATGGGTAGCAACTGTTCCTTCGCCATGCACTTGGCACATTGAAGTGAAAGTTGTGGGTCCTTCGAATGAGACCTTAAAAACTGAGGCCCTGTGTCACAGCAGGCATAGGCATGATAAAGATCCCTCACTGCTCAATGGCCCTGAGTGCCTAGTAAAGGTCAAAATTTGAAGCCCTTCACCAGTATATGGTGACGTCTCTATACAAGTGAAAATTCTCGAATGGGACGTAAAACAACATACAAGCAACCAATCAATCGAACTTGAGAATTGTTATTGTAATGGTTTGGGCTGTGGATATCAGCCTGGGTAGTTCCGTTGGTAGAGCACCTGACTATATAGTGATGCAGGGGTCCTGGGTTTGATTCCCAGTCCAGCCATTCATTTTCTCCTTTCCCGTTACATAATTTGGTGCCATTGACCACCCCTGAACTTGCAGGTGAAAGTCCTGCCAGGGGCAATAAGAACTTGGGTTGTGTCTTCAAGGGGGAAGACAATTTAAGGAGGATGGTTTGAGTCATGGATATTAGCCTGGGTAGCTCAGTTGGTAGAACACCTGACTAATGATGCAAGGGTTCGATTCCCGGTCAAGCCATACATTTCCTCCTTTCCAGTTACATTATGAAGTGATATTTTTTATTATTAATTGGCTTACATCAATGATATATAATGACTGTTAAAAAAATCTGTATACAAATTATGTTTTCATGTGTTTAAAATTTAACCACCCTTTTTTTTTTATACCAAATCTATCAATTGACCATCTATTCCATTTTTTTGGGGGGGGGGGGGGATGTCATGACATTGAAGTTAGGATTAAATATGAAAAATTCCGGAAAATGTAGTGTTATCAAAGAATGAGTGGACTTAAAGCCCTATTTTGGGTCTTTTTGAGATTCGTATACCAAGTTGTAATTGAAGTGAATCCAAAATACATTTGCATGATTATATTAGGTGGAACATTTGTTAAAAAATGATACCTTGGTGTCTTGAATCAAAATTGAATCAACGATGCCATCCAGAATTCGACATCTACCTGGTGTGGTTTCCTCCAAAAAGGGGCCCAGCACAGGGGGCCAGAATCTCTATTTTTGGCCAATACGTATTTTTATGATATGGCTGTGGAACGGATATAGGGAAATATATTCTATTCAATGTAATAGTAACATAATCTTTTCTGTGTAATAGCAAATTTTATTTTTAGCCAACACTGTGTAATCATGGTAATTATATCAATACATGTAACAAGCTTCTTTGATGTACCAAAATTTGCAGAATGTTGCATCTATCTATGGATGGATACTCTCAGGCCTACCTACATGTAAATACTAAAACTCACCTTGACAAATGCCACATGTAATTGGTAATTTTTGAAAGCCTAGATTTTGGTAGAGGAATCTGACTCAGTTCAGCAGTTTGACCCATTGGACCAAATTGTTTGACAATTAATATATTAGCGACTGAGAATGATAAAACAGCAGTGATGATTTTTGTTCATTGTGCTTTATGATATATACATAATATTTGTAGGATGTTTGCGATGAAAGTGTTCCTGGGCTGACACCAAACAATGTCATTTTTTAGTCCAAGGGTTGAAGTTCATAGAAGTTAGCTGAAATAATGGTAGGATGATAAAGAATATTCGTTTTGGTACATATATGTTGCATTTTCGAAAAATAAACCATTTTTTGACATACAGGTATATACCAATATACCATAGAAGTTAATATGCAACTATATAATAACAAAAACTGCTTAAAAGTTGGGTAAGTGTAAGCTTTGGGAATAGAGGCATGCAAGTTATGAAAACCAATATTTTTGTTTTAAATTCCTCTCATGTATTCTTTTGTAGTAAAATTTGCAAAAGAATATGGTAACTGGCATGTATTTGTTATCTGTGTCAGTGTGTTGAATGAAAAGAGTCTTATTTGATCTTTCAATCTCATACCCGCTACAGATTTAAAACAGATTTATAGAGAGCAAAGCCTACTAGTAATAGTATTAATGAAAATTCTGAAAAATGTCCATATCTTTCTAATAGAGAAAAATTGGAAGTTTATACCTCAAGGGAGAAACATTTCATATCACCTAAAGGTGTGTCTTTAACATGACTAAGGTCAAAGTTACTCTTAGAAAAATGTATAATTCCCGTCTTAGCCTTAGTGTGTAATTGTAAAACATTGGAAGCTCACACTTAGCACAAACTTTGCTTATGACCTGGTGGGTATGTCATGACCTTGATCAAAGGTCATTTGAGCAAGCTCAAGGTCAAATGCAAAAAAGTGTATATTTGGTAGTTATACATGTATAACTCTCTAATGAAAAAAAAATTGTTGTATAAGGGCATGTGAATGATCTTGATCAAAGTTCATTTTGGCAAGTTCAAGGTTCAAGGTCACTGGCAGAAAAAGTGTAAAATTCACTTTCTTATGGAGAAACATTGGAAGTTCATACTTTACACAGCAAATATCACTTATGTCATGAAAATGTGTTACCCACAGTACCTCTAGCTCTCTTAATGTACAACTAAAAAAATTAGGATCTTTTATTTTAACATTGCAATACAAATGTACCAGTGGGAAGGGCATTCATGTCCTATGGACATTTTGCTAGTTCCTCTGTTCTTAAGTAGAATTTTTTAGTCTCCTTCTATATCACAGTAAGTTGTTTACTTTCTGAAGTTAAATTTGTTTTACCTTAACCATTTACACTCTATAATGGTCTCCCCTTAATTGGAGATACTCATCTCACCCTAACTTATAATCAAGATGTGCCATGACATATTTGTTCAGTTTTGGAATTTCTTTGATCATTTAGATATTTATTTACCTGGTGTTTAAATTAGATTTTAAGCATGTTTACACCTTTGTGTTAATATATGTTTAAAAGGTAGGTTAATTATCCATGTAACTGAAAGTTAATTTACGAAGAAATGTTTGAGTACTTCATAAATGAAAATTTAGACACTCAATAGAATTACAATGGATAGATTTTGAAGTCAGTATTCCAGAAAGCACATAATTTAATAAGGATTTTAAAATTAAAATTGAAAAAAGACACTGAAAACTGAATCAAATAATTTTATAGTTGTTTTTTCATCATGGACAAAGAAAAGTAATTTTTCTAAAAAAATTTTTAAAAAATCTGGTTGAAAAGGAAGATGACAAGATGATAGTATTACACTAATAATTTTAGTTTGCTTAGAAAATGAAAATTTCCTTTCCTACCCAAGGAGAACATGACTGGATATGCCATGGAAAAATATTTCAAATTTGGCCTGATATTATTTATATACTGCTTGCCAAACACATGTTCCTGGTTTTAGATTTAGAATTAAGTCATTAGCCTTGAACATATCAGAGTAAATAAATATTTTTGGTAAGTATATTTATTGGTTCCTATATATACATTTATTGACATATTATGTAACTTAAAGCAGGAAGTTGTTAAATGACTATAACAGTCCAATTATTACGAGTTCCCATAATGTATCAGCAATTTATTGTGGCAGCTAAGTGTAAAGTTGGTAGACAAATCTCAATTGTTCTCTAACTTTATTTGATTTGTCTGGGTAACTCTGATTTATGGGTTGCTATTTCAAGAAATTCTATGGTAATATATTTTTAATAACGTTTATCAAATGTACATGTTATAAAATTATTCTTGCAGTCATCCACAGTATATGACTTCCTTAAAAATGAAATCACACAAATATTGTTTGAATCAGTATGTATGTTTTGTTTGTTCTTTTGACTGTTTGGTTATTTTAAAATAACAGAATATTTCCCAAGAGATGACATGAATTCTATTTATTTAGTTTTTATCATAGATTGTGAATGTAGAGATGACTTGACCATTGAGCATTATTTTTATCATAGAGATGATTAGACCACTATAGTGTTCCCAGAAATTATTGAGAATTTTTTACATGATACATTTATTTAAGAGCCATTCTCTGTAACGACTTGAACTTTTATATAGGAGCTGTGGCACGCGTAGTCTTAGAATTTCTCCAAACTCTCTATGATAAAAGTCTTTGATACTGTAAGCTCAAATCAGGCAGAAATTGGTTGCTATGTACCATGGTTACCATGGTAACATGTCCTTAAGTTAAAAAAATGGCATTTTTCAACATGTTCAGAGTCCCACAGTTAACGTTTGCAGCAAACCAAACAAGTGGCAATGATTGTTTCTGAAAGTTGA